AGCGGCCCAGCTCAGCCCCTGGGAGCTGCAACAGCAGATGAGTCCAGCACGTTTCCCCCCAGCGAGGTTTTGGGAGGGCAGCTGAGGGCAGAGCAGCCCATAGCCATGCCCTGGCGATGGAGGGATTTGCTGGGGCCAGGGCCTGGCTTTAAAGACCCCCAGTTGTGCCCACCCAGCTTGGATGGACCTTGCAGGGAAGGGGTTTATGCAATGGGGTCTACATAGCTTTAGTGGGGGCTCTGCTCTCCCCGTCTGGCTGCTGGCGCTGGGGGAAGCCCGCCGGCACGGCCCCTCTCCCCAATGCCCCTCTCCCCAGCTGGTTCCACGGGAAGATCTCGGGGGTGGAGGCGGTGCAGGAGCTGCAGCCCCCCGAGGACGGGCTGTTCCTGGTGCGCGAGTCCATCCGGCACCCCGGCGACTATGTGCTCTGCGTGAGCTTCGGTAAGGAGGTGATCCACTACCGCGTGGTGCACGAGGAGAACACGCTCAGCATCGACAACCAGCAGTACTTCTCCAACCTCATTGACATGATCGAGGTGAGACCCCCCCCTCCCCGGGCAGTGAGCCCCGCCAGCGCCGGACCGAGAGCAAGAACCTCATGGGGTCCCAGGGAGCAGTGGCAGGTCCCCGTCCCTTTCTCCTGCGGTTTTCATTGGGGTTCGTTACCTGGGGTAACTCTCTGTCCCTGCCAAAGGCTCGTGGTTCCCACTCAGTTTGGGGTGCAACGGACAGATCTGGGATGCCATGGGGATGTCTGCTGCTGCAAACCAGCCGTGCCGGCAGCAGCCCCGGTCCCCTTCCCAGGGCCACGTTTCTGCCACCCCTGCTCATTCGGTGCTTCAGGCAGCAGCGGGGCTTTGGGCATTTTGGAAAAATGCTTCTGCCACCCCTGGAACCTGAACGAGGTCTGAGCCCTACCGAGGTTTTGAGGCGTTTTGCTGTGTTTCTCTCCCATCCAAGCCCCCCTCTTGTCTGCTCACCCTGTGGGGCTGCCGCGTTAGCTCTCGCCCTTCCAGCAAACTCTTCCTCAAGGTTCATCTTCACCCTGGCTCATAGCTGATGCCTATCTCCTCCCCAGGGGGTTGCACTCTCATATGTTTTCCTCATTAAGACACAACTTCTGCTTTTGGGTAGCTCCTTTCCCCTTTCAGCTGCCCTAGCCCTTCTCTGTAACTTCGACAGCCGTCCCTGCCGCTTCCGCTCCCTGTCTCTGCAAACCGCCCTCAGCTGCTGCAGTGCCCGTTTTAACTCCATCAGCTGCCCTCCGGCTCACCCGGAGCACCCCGTATCGCCCGCGCTCTGTCACGGTGTTTCCCTGGCTGGAAGGGAGCAGGGCTGAGATGGAGGCTGCAAGTTGTGGTGCGGGGGGAAACACGGCATTTTGTGCTGCCTGAGCTGAAGGGGCTCCGGGCCTCTCGAGGGCGGCGATGGTGGTGGGGTCCCATGGAGCATCCCACAGCTGTTTCCCGGCTCCACGCCCCAAATTTGAGGGTAAGAGGTGGCATCGCCGCATCGCCTCCGTCTGTCCGTTCCTCGGCAGCACTACATGAAGGAGCAGGGAGCCATCTGCACCAAGCTGGTGAAGCCCAAACCAAAAACAGGGATGAAGTCGGCCGAGGAGGAGTTGGCCAAAGGTAGGGGATGGCGGGAGAGGGTCATGGTCCGGATTTTGGGGACAAGGCAGCATGGCCGCACTGGTGGCCCCTGCTAACCTGCCCTTGTGCCCGTGCGCAGCTGGCTGGTTGCTGAACCTGCAGCGCCTCACATTGGGAGACCGCATCGGGCAAGGCGAGTTTGGAGGTAGGTGAGAAGATGAGGCTGGTGGTTCCCTGGCCACGGACTTCCCCAGATGTCACCACCCCGACGTCCCCTCCCCATCCCGTGGCATGGGGGGCTCAGCCTGGGATGTGGGGGGTCAGGTGTGGGGCTGAGCCTGACCTCTTGTGTCCCCTTCCAGACGTCCTGCAGGGCGAGTACATGGGGCAGAAAGTGGCCGTGAAGAACATCAAGTGCGATGTGACCGCCCAGGCCTTCCTCGCTGAAACGGCTGCCATGACGTGAGTGCCCCACGGGGGGATACGGCCCAACCCTGCCCTGTGACCCGGGGACGAGCAGGGACCCCCTTGAGCTGGATCTGCTCTGTTTCAGGAAGGTCCGGCACAAAAACTTGGTGTGTTTGCTCGGCGTGATCCTGCACAACGGCCTCTACATCGTCATGGAGTTCATGAGCAAGGTGAGAGCACCCAGCCAGTCCTCAGCCAGCGGTACCCGCCACTGCTCAGATTTGGGAACAAAATCCCCGTTTGGGGGGCTGAGTTCGATGGGTGCCGGGTGCTGCAGCCCCTGCGGGAGGCAAAGCCTCCAGGCAGCCCTGTCCCGTTGGTCCTTACGCATTTCTCCTCCTCTATCAGGGCAACCTGGTGAACTTCTTGCGCACGCGGGGCCGGGCGCTTGTCCCGACCCAGCAGCTCCTCCTGTTCGCTCTGTAAGTCCATCTCCCTCCCTCCGGGCTGCAGACCGGTGCTCTGCATCCTCCCAGGCAGCCCCAGGGGACACGCAGTAACACTGCGCTCTGCCTTGCTTGGCCGTCGCAGGGATGTGGCCCAGGGCATGGACTACCTGGAGTCCAAGAAGCTGGTGCACAGGGACCTGGCTGCCCGCAATATCCTCATCTCCGAGGAGAACGTGGCCAAAGTGAGCGATTTTGGCTTGGCCCGGGTCAATCCCAAGGGCGCAGATGCCAGTTTGCTGCCCGTGAAGTGGACGGCCCCGGAGGCCCTGAAACACAACGTGAGCAATGGTGGGAAGGCGGGGGGGGGCCCTCCCGAAGCAGCTCATCCCCCTGCGTCCCCCCTGCTCGTCCCCCCTCCCGCTGACTCGTCCCTGCCCCGTGGTGGCTTCTGGCACATTCAGCCCTGCATCTCCTGAAATTCGGGCTCTGTCCTGACCAGCCCTCGCCCTGGTGCCTAGCAGGGACTGGGGCAGCTCCGGCGGGATGCAGCAGGATGGATCCAGGGCTGTGCGGG